TGGAGCAGGAGGACACAGCAGAGGGTGAGAGTCAACAACAGAAAAGTGACATGAAACCGATCCATAAAGAGAAGTCTCGCCTCTCTGCCCCCCAGCAGAACTCTTCTGATGTGTGTTGTGTGGGAAACTCTCTCTAGACCTTTTGGGTTTCAGATGAAAACTGTTCCAAGGAAAACGTGTTTTGATCTTTCTTTGTCTTTCTCTGGCGCTTTGTTGCAGGAGCTGCAGCAGCAGAGAGCTGCAGAGGAGCAGCACCAGGTGGAGCTGGAGAACCTCAGGCAGACGAGTGCAGCAGGACGTAAGAAACTGAGGAGTTCCACGAGCAGCAACAGCCTGAAGCCACCTGCAGACACCAAAACAAAGAACACAGGTCCAGCATGTCAGATGGATCTAAACTCTGCATGTCAGGCATGTGCTTTGTTTAACAAGTATTCCTGACAGCGTGTTTGTTTCCACAGACTCTCATTTGAGTGTTGTGGCTGATGGAGGTGGTCTCAGCTTCAGAGCAGTTTCTCCACCTTCATCAAACCGCAGAGGATCCCAGGTAAGAAACTGAACATTTTACTGAGACTCCTTTCAGCAGTTCTTGTCTCAGGCTTTTTGTTTCTGGTCCTGCAGGAGGTCCTGCAGAGGTCCGTGAGCGTGGAGGACCAGGGTCAGGGAGTCCAGTCCAGCAGGCCTCAGTCTAAAACCACCCTGACTGAGCTGCTGGACTCCCTGAAGCTGTTAGAAGAAGAGCCGGAGAGACTGCCGGAGCCGAGGGTCTATCATAAGGAGAAGTACGCCTGGATAGATCAGGTCAGAGTTCAAATCTTTAGGACATTTTTCACAGCGAAGCTATAAGAGATCACTGATCCAACCTTAAACTGCTTCTTCTGAAAGGATGGAGACTCGAACTCACTGACGGCTGACAACCTGGAGCGTCACGGCCAGCTGAGCCAGCACCCTGCGCTGCCAGACGGGGGCGCTCTGCTCTCAGAGGCCAAGCTGCAGAGCATCATGACCTTCCTGGACGAGATGGAGAAATCTGAGCAGGAAAGGCCTCGATCTGTCACGTCAGGGTCGCACAGAGAGGTCCGCACCACTTTGTGTTGTTGTGTCGCTCAGGTTCTCAAACTTCAGACCAACCAAACACCAGCTGTTGTTTTCCATCACTAGTGGGGCTCTGTGTTCGTTTCTGGTTAAAACTATGGGAAGGCCTCATATTTACAGCTGATGGTTGGTGTTTTCAGGCTGTGCTGTCTGAGGAGGAGCTGGGAGTGGAGCAGTCTGCCACTGCTGCCGAAGTCACTGGTTCCATGATGAGGATCAAACTGGAGCTGGAGGAGAAGAAATGCACCGTCAGCATGCTGCAGGCAGCTCTGGTGAGCAAGCAGCTCGACACCTCGGTGTGTTAGCTGCTGCAAACGTTGAGCTCACAGCCTCGGCTGCTCTCATGTTTCTGCAGACTCAGCAGAGGGAGCTGACGGCGAGGCACGTGAAGGAGACGGAGAAGGAGCTGAGCACAAACTTCCAGCTGCAGAAGGAGCAATACGAAGCCACCATCCAGAGACACCTGACTTTTATCGACCAGGTGAGAAACGAGCAGCTGTTTTGGAAACACCTTTTTATTTCTTTTTGTGTAAGACTTGTTTTGTCTCTCTGCAGCTCATCAACGATAAAAAGGCTCTGAGTGAGCGCTGTGAAGGTGTGGTGGCCGAGCTGAAGCAGGTGGACCACAAGTACACCAAGAAGATCTCCCAGATGCAGCAGCAGCACGAGATGGTGAGACTCTGCTCTCAGCAGGTTTCTCTGTAGGCCTCCGTGCGTCTGCTTCGCTTCTCTCACCGAACCTGCTTCAGTTTAACGTTTTCTCTTCTTTCCTCTTTATATCTGTGTTTTCTCACCTCTTAGGTGTGGCAAATTCTCGGCCCCTTGTGTGAGGTAACGACTTTCTCCTCTGACTCACTTTGACTCGATCATCTTTCATTCTTCCATTCATTTCTCATTTCCATTCGTCTGTCCCACAACACTTCTCCTGGACCGCATGTGAGCAACTTGTTAAAAATGTAATCTTTTACATTAAAACTTTTATTAGTTTAGTCTGTTTTATTTTCGGCACCCGCTGTTTATAAAGTAAATGTTTTAACGGTTTGTGTAATAAAAGTCACTGATAGTCTCTGCTGTCTCGTCCATTTCTCTGCAGGAGATCAAAAAGTTGAAGGACCTGATGAGCGCCACGGAGAAGATCCGCAGAGAGAAATGGATCGATGATAAAACCAAGAAGATTAAGGAAATCACAATCAAAGGTAGAGATGAAATATTAATCCCACTAACTGCCAGGTTGTAAATTAAGTCCACGTCTGTGATTCATCGTGACTCTGCACAAAGTTGGTGTTTGTTGCTCGTAGTTCTTCCTGTTCATCCTGTGACTGTTCTTCTGTCTGTAGCTGCTCCTCCGAGCGCCTCGTGAAATGACTTTATTGCACGGATAATGCAGAACAGTTCCCCGACAGCCGCTGCGCGTGACATTTAACCTTTAACTCACCTCGACGAACCTGCAGCGTCATGTTTCAACTTCCCTCACCACAAGTTTCACTCTATTTTATTTACTCCAGGACGTGAACAGCAGCTAAGAGATCAGGAATGTTATGATGCATTTATAAACTGACGCATAAATGATTTAACATGTGGGAATACTTTACTCTCTTACCTGTCGTCCGTTTTTTAAAGTGTGACTTTTTATTTCATAATGAATGAACAAGATTCTTGTATTGATTGTTTTTAACCGAAACACTGAGGCTGTTTCCTCGTCTGTCGTTGCTTGTTGTGCTGAAACCATGAAAAGTTTTTAGTTTTAGGTGTTTTCAGTGTTCATGCTGACTCTGTGTGACCTTTGACCTTCTAGCAGTCAGCAGCTCAACAAACAAACGCTTCTTTTATGTGGTTCAGTAAAAGGAAAAGTAAATAAAATGTGTCTGCTGATCTGTGCCAAACATTTTTTTCCAACTTGACCAGAAAAATAAGATTTTTCTTTTTGGGTTTTGTTTCTTTTCAGATGTTCGGACTTCAGAACTCGTCTGTTTTTCTCTTTGTTTAGTCTCGTTTCTGCTAAAAATAACCTCACTTTACTGGAACTTGTCCCAGACTCCAGGAATTCAACCAGCAGTTTGTTGGTTTTCACGTGAAGCTCTCTTCCTCTCAGGGCTGGAGCCAGAGATCCAGAAGCTGATTTCTAAACACAAGCAGGAGCTGAAGAAGCTGCGGACGCTGCACGAAGCCGAGCTGCTGCAGGCTGACGAGCGAGCGGCGCAGAAGTACGTCCGTCAGAGCGAGGAGCTGCGGCTGCAGCTGGAGAAGGAGAAGCAGGAGGAGAGCCAGAGGGAGAGGGAGCTGGCCAAACAGAGGTGAGCATCGCACCTCCATCGTCTCCTGGTTGTCTTACAGCTCCTCTGTCTGTGGGTTCAGCAGCTCGTGTTCCTCCTCTCAGTTGTTTTGGGCTTTTCAGGTACGAGAAGCAGCTGCAGGAGGAGGAGTTGTCCCTGCAGCAGCAGAGGAGGCGTCTCCACAAGGAGGTGGCTGATGAAAAGGAGAGGCTCGCTGAGCTGGCTGCCAGGTGAGGTCAGAGGTCATCCGAAGAGCTGCAGTCAAGTCAAATTAGACAAATTGTTCATGTGCAGGAGCTTTTTATCAGATGAGCAGGGCAAAAGGTTCTTTAAGCTTTTAGTCTTTACAGCCTCTGAGCTGAGGACAAGATGACGTTACAACTAATGAAATGTTGTTAAATAAATGTCCTGATGCATGCTCAATAATCCAGGTAGAAAAATCTAAAAAACTTAAATCTGGTCCTCTGGACATTCAAAAAAACCCAAAACAAAGCAAAACAACAAAAAATGTAGAAACGTTTCGTCTCTCGTCCGAGAGACTTCCTCAGTCTGAGGTGCTGTATTCAGCTCAGTCTCT